TGGTGTATGGAATTCCAGGAAGACCCCCGCAAAGGTGTGAGATCACATGTAGTCTCCCTACCAGACCCTTTCCAGTTCCGGGTGACGGGGTTTTATGTGAAGGGCAGGTTGGACAGGGGATCTTTCGGCCTCATTTGCAACATTCTCCCTTCTCCCATTTCTCATCCACGGTCCCTAGATTACTGAGCACAAGGCAAGGACCTAAGAGGGCCACCGTAGCCACTCCTTCCCATCTTGAAGCGATTACAGCCCAAGAAGGGTAAAAGCAAGCTCCTTTGGAGAGATTATCTGCCTCCTTCTACAAGGTTCCCCATTCCTGGAGGGAATGGCCTTAAAAGGATATACGGAGAGGCTGAGTTGTCTCCCTCCCCTCCCCACCAGCAGGAGTGACCAAAGGAAGCCGGTCTTTTCTCTTCCAAGCAGCCTCTGCTATTCAGTGCCACCAATACACAGAAACATGAATACTGATTACAGCAATGGCTTTCAAATATGTCCACCACTGCCCACAGGAGGGGCAGCAGAAATACCTTTTATGTAACTACCATTTTAAAAAGTTTTACAAAATAACACATAGCCATAAGCTATGTGCAGTGCATGGATATCCTCTATTTCATCTTCCCACCTTTTTTTTTTTCAGTATGGTCTGTGACTCATGATATCAATTTCAAAACTCTCTAATGGGTGGCTAACCAAGTCTGAAAAACACCTGATTATAGGCCAGAGTGCCTAAAACTAGTATTTCCCAAAGAGTCTCTTGTATTTCACATGTCTGAATAATATCTACGCCTACCACCACTAGTGAACAAGGTGACCTGAGGAGAAACATGGGGAGAGCCTTTTTTCTAGTTGTTATTTAGTTATTTATTAGTTTTTACAGTTCGCTTCCATTTGGAAAGTTATCACTTTCCAAGTGATACTGATTTTTAAATTATGGAAATGATTTTAAGTTTTCTTCCAAGTTAATGTGTTTAAGAGTGGTTTGAGTGAGGGGCGCCTGGGTGGCTTAGTCGGTTAAGTGTCCGACTTTCGCTTAGGTCATGTTCTCGCGGTTCGTGGGTTCGAGCCCTGCGTCAGGCTCTGTGCTGGCTGCCAGTTCAGAGCCTGGAGCCTGTTTCAGAGTCTGTGACTCCCTCTCTCTCTGACCCTCCCCTGCTCATGCTGTCTCTCTCTCTCCTAGAAATAAATAAAATATTAAAAAAAAAGAGTGGTTTGAGTGAAAATATTAAGTAAATATTAGTATAGGAAATATTCAGGCATGTCAAAAATCACAACTATGATGGGGCGCCCGGGTGGCGTAGTTGGTTAAGCGTCCGACTTTCACTCGGGTCATGATCTCGCGGTTCGTGGGTTCGAGCCCCGCGTCGGGCTCTGTGCTGACTGCCAGCTCAGAGCCTGGAGCCTGTTTCAGTCTGTGACTCCCTCTCTCTCTGACCCTCCCCTGCTCACGCTGTCCCTCTCTCTCTCTCCTAGAAATAAATAAAACGTTTAAAAAAAAAAAATCACAACTATGTTACCTGTGTTCTAAAGTGTAGGGAAATATTACCTTGCAACATTCCAAGGTGAAATAACAAGAAACGTACCTTTCCTAACAGCAGATCTGCTTTTGCAGAGTGCTACTAATTATTCCCAGGAAATTTAGATTACATGACAGTTCATTATATTACATTTGACATTGTCCTAGCAGCCTCTTAAAACCAGGCCAGTGCTTTTTCTAAACACTTGTTGGGCAGTTCTGAGTTCGGCATCCATCTGCAACATGAACTGTGTGGATGGCGAGAAGCTGGAGCTCGCTTTTCTTTTTTCAGATTATCACGTGGTCTTTCTCTGCCAGGCATTCAAGTTAATTATTTCCTGTTTTTCTGGGTCTGCTCCTTATCCCCCTTCCCAGGTCCCTTGACCCTCCCCTCCACATGTACAGTCTTGGCCAACGGCAGTCAGCTCTGCCCCAAAGCCGTCTTTGCCTCTCGCCTGTCCTCGAGAACCCTCCAACAAGAGCCTTGGAGTTTAGCAGAGGGCAACAATCTCAGAGCAAAAGTATGTCATTACTGTAGAACCAGAAGTTACTTTTTCTTTAGTTCTCTTCTTTCTAGTAACATTCTTGGTCCCTTACTGACCTTTTGTTCTTTGAGTCCCTGCCTGCTAAGGAACTGTGTGAGCCAATCTGCCCACGTTGTTGTCTCTGTGACTGCTTGGGATCTCTGGCATCGGCTCTGTTATCACTCTTCTCAGGATTCCCACGGTGGCCTTGACACTCCCAGCAAACTTGATCTGTTGTTCATGTAACACTGCTTCTCCGGCTGCCCCATCCCTTCCCATCAAGGCCAGAGTCTGTGCTCCTCATGATGGTCTTTAGCAGCTCAGGATACCAGGCCGAGCTGAGCTGCGTGCGCCCCATAGAAGCTTCGTGCAGAGTAGCCACTCCATTCCTGTGGTCTTCACTTCCTCACCCCCATCCTCATTCCCAGAAAATTCTCAGTCTAGCTGTTTTTGGCCATCTGGCCTTAGTTTCTCCAAAGTCTTTAGCCCATCCTGGCCAAAGTTTTATCTTAGGTCTTGTCCACTTTATTCATCATCCTCTCCCCCAGCCCCATCCCAGTTCTACTGTCCTCTCGCCTCCTCACATGCAAACGCCTGAGCTCTTTAACATCTTCCATCTAGCGTACAGCTCCTGGCTATCTACTTCTGGCCCATTACAAATTAAAAAGCCCTACATGGACCGTTTGTGTGTGTGTGTGTGCACATGCACGCATGCGTGTGCATGTGGCATACGTATACACATTCAATGTGGGAGAAGGGGTATAAACACAAAATAGACTGCCCAACGCTATTTGGGAGGTGGGGGGCAGATGCACCTGAGAGGCTCCCAACAGTTCTAGTTAGTATGTTAGTCATTTTTCACCCTGTGACCGAACCTGTATCATTTTCAAACACAGCTTCAACAAAGAGGAGTCTTGATGCTTATTGAAGATTTAGATCACTACTTCCCTGTTAAGAGGAGATTTTTTAAATTGCGTTTTCATTATGACTCCATCTCCATTTATTGATCAAGGGATTTCTTGCCTCACTTAACTCCATAATCTGTTGCTCAGATTAAGAAAATGTGAAAACTATTGTTTGGTATTATGAGTACAGACTTTCAAGTGATACCTCGGAGGCTAGATGATTCAAATACTATAATCCAAGAAAAGCAACTGATTGATCATGTAGAATGTTGTTTTTTATGCATCGCTCTTTTTAATGGACTGAGCATGCAGTGAAACGAATCGGATTAAATGTTCTGTAGACGTGCCGTTATAGAAGCAAGAATTTACCAGTGTAGAAACATCCAACAGAATGCACTAATACAAGAGACAGGCAATAATACATGTAAAAAGCCCTAAATAAACAAAACATATAAATCACTATGCATTCAACACATTTCAAGCATCTATTATTTTTTATGTAAGGAACAATGGTAGGTATAGTAACTTCTCAATTATTAGCAGAAAAATGCCCCTTATTTTAGTATTTCCTTTCTTGTATTACTACTACCTAGTAATATAGCTGTATCTATATGCTTTTGGGGATGTATGACAAATCTGTACTTTCACTGTTTATCTTTCATCCTCCACTTTGCAGCCTCGTTGGCCACTTTATTCGTCCTTAGTTTTTTCTCCTAAGGGGTAACCAGAAGGGAAAGGAGGTGAACCTCAGGTCAGTCAGCCTTGCTTAGCTACGCAAGCAGTCAAATCTCAGTACAATAAACTTTATAAAGATCTGTCTAAATTCTTTGGTGTCATTTAAGATTTTGTTCCATCCAAATGATTGAACAGGCCTGCCATTTAAAGTTTGGACATCCTGGAGATTGATATTTTGGTTAATACTTACAACATATATGTTATAACTATGCACTATAACTATTAATATATTAAATATAACAGCACCTGACCTGTCCCTGGACGAGTTTATAGTAAACTAAAGTGTAAGAGTATGCCTGAAGAGCAAAGGAAAGGGACCACTAATTTGCTCAGTACTTATGACATGAGAGATTCCCAACTGTGACATTCACACTGCTTCTCTCTTTTTATAGTTTACAATTTCCCAGAAAAGTAGAATACTCATTTTATAGACGTGGAAACTGAGGCTCAGAAATACTCTGGCCAGTCTGTTTGTAAGGAAAACCCTATCTAACAGCCTCCAAAACACAAGCCCCTTACAAAGGAGGACTGGAGATTGCTGGCAGCTTTCGCTAATCTGTGCTGTCCACACTCAACATGGGTAATTGAAAGCTGACCCTATGTTCCTTTCAAAACTCTCCAAGGAATCTGGCCGTAGAGACATCATGGATAACTGGTTTCAACAGCTGAGAAACAAAATTCATTCTGTGGAATAAAAACAGCCTTTATTTCGGTGGGGCTTTTTCTTTCTTTCTGAAAAAAAAACAAAAGAACAAAAACAAAAACAGGAAAAGCATCCACCACAGCCCTTAACAAGAACGCTCACAGGATGGACAAGCCTTCAGATTGGGCTGTGCGGATTACCTTTTGGGCACTTTGGCGTAAAATGTTAAAGGGGCGACGTAATGAACAGCTGGGAATTTCTGAGGCACAATCGTATGGCATAGGACGCCCAACTGTTGACCATCCTCCCTGAAGGCAGCTGCCGGGCTCTGGTCGGCTTCTGCAAACCTGGTCCCTCGCCCTCGACCCGCTGCCTGCCGCAGCGCCTGCAGCGGCCCGCGCCGGCCCGCCCCCGCGTGCCTGCCAAGGCCGACGCTGCCCGGATGCGACGGTGCCCTCTCCCCCCCCAACCGCGCACGTGACGGGGGGGAGGGTCAGTTTCCTACCCCACCCCTTCTCGAAGCCCCGCCTTCCTCTCAGAGGCCGCGGCTTTCCATTGCGCCATTAGTGGAGTGACCGCCGTGCCAACCAGTCAGAATGCAGCCCTTCCAGTAAGACCCGCCCCCTGTCGGTCCTCAGGTTCCTTCCCGCTCACACAGGAGTCACTTCCGAAGAGAGCGAACCGCCATGAAGAAAGAAGGGGGTGCCGCCCAACTCTGCTCCGACAGGCTCCCCGAGTCCCAGCAGCAAGACGGCAACCACGCACCCAACTTCTCCAGCCACAGCTCATGCCGCCGTCGCCAGCGGCGCCGACATGACAAGGCGCTGCATACTCGCTAGGCCAGGTTTCCCCTCATCCCCAGCCCCGGGGTCGTCGCCCCCGCGCTGCCATCTGAGACCCGGTAGTACCGCCCCTGCTGCAGCGGGAAAGAGAACAAAGAGTCCTGGGGACAGGTACCGTGCAGAGGGCTGGAGAAGGGGCCGGGTCGCGGGGGCAAGGGTATGAGGGAGGACTGCGGACGCCCGCTCTTTCAGTTCCCGCCATCCTCCGCGAGCTTCGGGCCTCGGCGTTCCGCGGCCAGGCAAACCCCTGCCCCGCCTCCGCGCGGGGGCTTCTGGGACTTCGAGTTTTCTTTTCTGTAGTTGGGATGCAGGTCTTCGTCCAGTGACCATATCCTGGATGGCTACGGAGAACCCACCTTAGGTAGAACGTGATTTTTGTCCTTTACGATAGCTGGACCCGGGGCCCTAACTGCTTTGTGCATATTTAGTAGGGGTGGGTTTTTTTGTATGTTGTCACTTCTACTGATCGTAGTAGCTTAACAGTATAAACTTCTAAGTCGTGGGTGACATTATGTACGATGGACGAGGGGAACCCCTTCCACGAATTACTTTATAGCCCAGTATACACGATCATTCATACTTAACAAGAGCGTACAGATCTGGAATGTGATGTTTTTTCCTTCAGTAACTTTTCGCTGCTCCAAGAGGCTAGGTTCCTTGCGAAGATTTTGTGGGAGTTCTGTAATGAGATGGGGAGTTTTATCAAATGACATCCTCTGACAATAAAACATATTTAAATTCTCTACGCACTTGGTACTGTCTTTTTTATTTTAAGTTTTAAAAAGCTTGTAACTTAAATTTAACAGCAGTTTTATCTTCTAATATTGTGGTGCAGATCTACAATCCCTTATCTCGATCATGAAAGCCTGAGTGCCGTGAAAGTCCAAACTTGTCAGAAAGTTTGGCACCACATATTACTTGGCAGCCAAACCTGATGAGAACTAATGGAAGGCTGTATATGGTCTTTATTGTATTAAGTGTATGTTTATGCCGGAGAAATATTGACATATTGACGCGTTCGCTTTGAGGGTGCAGTGTCACACCCCAGTGGGGACTTTACATAATGCATCTAAGTTACCCCCTTTCTAAACTGCAGTGTATTCAAAATTCAAGAATACCTTTGACCCCAAAAATTTCAGATAAGGGCTTGTGAGCTGTTACAATTTTTAAAAACCTAATTATAAATAACTAATGGGCTTTTCTGTGCATATGAAATTAGACAACTGTTCCTGCTTGAAAGTTACATTCATGATTATTTTACAGGTTTCTTGTATTTTTTACCCAAAACTGTTTATTTCTCTGGTGTATTAATCAAAAAGCCTGGTATCTAATATTTTAGGAAGGGATATATTGTTATTTAATAATTAACGTAAAGGCATGTTTCCTATCGTCTTGAATTAGCTGCTGCTTAATCCTTTCCCATCTCTTTTCCTCACCCAGTAACTGAGAACATCATCTGCTTTCCTCGTTTGCAGAACCTCTAGCATTTCTGTCTTCATTCTTCATTGGAATTAATTTGCCTGATATAATTTATGAAAACAAATGCATAGATTCTTCGCTAGCCTGTCACTCATATTCATATCATAACCAGTTAGCTTTTCTACCAACATCTCGCAAACATGTGGACTCTTAGTAAAACATTATAGATGGATGTTGCTCTTCAAATGTGACCTGTAAAGTGTACAAGGGACTTGGATTGTTCAAGTTTTCTCTGAGTATTACCACTTCATAGTGGATAAATGTTTAGGGAAACTGGTTGTATACTGCTTCTCTTTCAGTAAAACGAATACATTTTAGCAGGATTTTGGCAGGAAGTTAATCTTTTGCTCTACGTACAACATTCCTTTTTATGCCGCTGGCAACTCTAAAAACATAAATCAGAATACAAATTCTGATAATATGGTTCACTTTGTTTTACTGTAAGGCACAGAAATCCTTAAGAATTAAAACAATTTGGTTTTTGTAATTGTTAACTTTTTTCCTTTTCTCGGTTTTGTGTTTTCCCCAGGCAATGTGTTATTTTTGGAGGTACCTTAAGAATTCCTAGATAAAAAATAGGATTTGAAACACTGTTTAGTTCCGAAGACTCATTCTAAATTTGGCTGTTACTTGATTAACATCTTACTGTAGTATATAAAGATAATAGTGTAAGCTTGGTACTTAAGCCTCTTTGCCTTTTGGCCAGACTGCCTCCCCAAATGGGCCAAATCACCAGAATTGCCATTCTACCATCTACTCTTGTTTTGAATCTGTTAAGGTTTTATTCTGTTATTATAATCTCCATTATTCATTCAGAAAACGTTTATTGAGCATTATTTTCTACCAGTCACTGGAAATACCAAGCAATAGGATCAGATCCCCTCAAAATCATTTATTCTGCCTTGTAGCAGTAAGCTTTTCAGTCCTGGGAAGGACACTCCTAATTCCTGGATGCATACTCCAATCTTATCATTTTGGTACTGTAGATTATATAAACCTCAGTTGTGCTTTTATAAATTTAATTCTATAAGAAATGCAAATTATATTTTCAGTTTATTATAATCACCTTAGCAAAGCATTACTGCCACTGTCAGAACTTAGTTAAACCAGGTAGTGAAATGAAATCTATATCCTGTAAATCTACTAGTATTCTCCCCTTAGTCTGAATAATTGAAGTTTTACTATTTGCTTATGTGATACCATATTAGTTATGCTTTTATTTTCAGGAAGCAGTCAATTATAGATTTCTTCAAACCAGCTTCAAAACAAGGTATGTATACTATTAATGCATTTTTTGCAGGATCTTTTGAGGAAGGAGATGGATTCCGTTTTTAAATTTCTCTAAAAGCTTTTATTTGATTAAACCTAATGTTCAAATTAAAAAATATGATGAAGGTGCAGTATTTTTTACAAAGATAAGTTCTAAACATCATGAACAAACTTTTTGCTGTTATTCTTACATTTAAAATATTCCAGTCAATCATATTCATAGTGCATGCTTTTTGGTTCTCTAGTATAGTAACATTTTATAAATGGAGCCATAGTGAGCTTATAAGATACAGCAAAAGGGAGCTTAATGAAAGTAAGGTTATTAAATAATAAATAAACCATGTCTTAATTCCCTCCTCCATAAAATGTGTATCATCATCACCTAATATTGATTTGAAAATTTTTGTGATAGCTTAGTATTTTAAATGTTAAATAAATGTACAAAATGTATTAGTTTGTTATTTTTAATAACGTGCAATTTGTGTTTTAATTGGCCATTTAGACAGACATATGTTGGATTCTCCACAAAAATCAGACATCAAATATGGAGGAAGTGGATTGTCCATCACTGGGACAGAGCAGTTTGAAAGGAAACTATCCTCACCGAAAAAATCTAAACCCAAAAGGATGCCATCAGAAAAGGGCACTATTTTAGAGGCTTTCATGAAAGGCGTTAAAGAGCACCATAAAGATCGTGGTATACCTGAGTCACGTCGGCCTTGTGTGTCGATAGCCCCAAAATATCCAAAGGCCGTTACAAAAGTCTATGTTCCTCCATATTGCTTGTCAAAGGAGATGAAGACACTGAAGAAAAAACATCGATCTCCAGAGTGAAGGAAGTCACTGTTCATTCATGAAAATAGCAGGGAGAAGAATGATAGAGATCGAGACAAGACCAGTACAGATTCCAAAAAGCAGGCCACAGTGACAGAAGCTGACATCTTCAAGAACAGTTCGAGAAGTCTTAGCAGCAGGAGCAGCCTATCTAGGCACCACCCAGGAGAAAGTCCTTTGGGAGCTAAGTTCCAGTTGTCATTAGCTTCATACTGCAGAGAAAGAGAACTAAAGAAGTTGAGAAGGGAGCAAATGGAGCAGAGAATCAACTCCGAAAATTCCTTCTCAAAAGCAAGCAATCTTTCCTTAAAATCCTCTAGTATAGAAAGAAAATATAAACCAAGGCAGGAACAAAGTAAACAGAATGATGTCACACCTGGAAAGAGTAATCTTTCAAACCTGGTATGTGTAATAATTACTGAATTAGTGTGGCTGCTGCTTTATTATATCTAGAACACTAAATCTAAAAATGTTTAATATTTGTTAACATTATATTGGTAGCTTTTGTTTTGGAAATACTGATAACACAGCTTGTTTAAAAGTTAATTACATTACGTTTCCTCCAGCTGTCCACAGGACCTCAGTAAAGCAGTATTTCTCGCCCTTAATTTTTTTCAGACCAGGAACAAAAATCTTTCTGAAGAAAGTAAGCCTTCTTTTTTTAGGCAAGTATAGTCATTTTTAAATGAGGCTGTGCTGTAGGGAGATACTTGAGGAATAGAAAATCTAAAAACATTAGGAAAGGGTTTAGAACAGAGGTTCTCAAAATGTGGTCCCTGGACTAACAACATCAGCATCACCTGGGAACTTAGAAATGCAAATTCTCAGACCTAACCCCAGACTCACTGAACCAGAAATTGGAGCTAAGAGTCCAGCAGTCTGCAGTTAACAAACCTTCCGGATGCTTCGGATGTGCTTTAAAGTTTTGAGAATCACTGATTTAGATTATACAGAAGTCCTAAGTTGAGAATGGGTCTTAGACAACTTAGATGAAAACACTTAGAAAGCATCCAGAGATATGTTAACCTCATCATATTCCCTCTTGAGAATAGACCAAATTTAGATTAGCATAAAAGGTGACCTTCTCCTCCAGAAAGAAGGTACCTCTGTTTCATAGAGCTTCTCAACGTACAGAGCAAATGAAGTTCAGATACCAAGAAAGGGCAATGTTGATAAGATGCCATGAGATTTTAAAACAGACCAAAAGTAAACCAAACTATGATATTTTGAGTGTTGCCTTGTATATTGCTTGAAAATGTATTTGTAAATTCAAGGGTTGGTTTGTAAGGAGTTTGAGGTCTTTACCAGGGAGATTTGCTAACAGACAATAGAAGTTAGTAACATTTGGTTCATCCTTCTAAGATTTCAGTGTTTGATGGTGCATCAGGACTTGAACTGAAGTATTGAAGAGTAAGTTGTATCTACTTAATTGGCAAATATTAGGCTATCTCTTTATCAAAAAAATGGTATAGTGCTCTAGTATTAATCTTGAGTTCACATAAATCTAAATTTGTGTTTTGAAAACTGGCTTTATTTTACAATATTACCTTTTTGTGAAACTTAAGAGTTGAAAATATTTTACTCTAGAAGCTTGAACTTACCTCCAAATGTAAGTGCTTGCTTTATTTGGTGTAGAAATCTGTGTTTAAATGTTATGAAGAAAAGTTCATATTCTTTACTGGCCCCAGTTCCTAACTAATTTTTTCTCATTTTGCTAAAAGGAAAATGGACATTTCTCAAGGAAAAGATCCTCTTCTGATTCATGGGAACCTGCTTCAGGTAGAATCAAAATTAACTTACTAATTTTGAAATAAAATTGTATGTCAGTGGCACTTTTTTGAAACAAATTTGTTTAAATATGCAGTTTACTTCCTAGAGGTGAATTGAATGCCTCAGATTAGTTGAGTTTGGTAAAATTATATTGAAAAGGAATAGTCCTTGAATTTAGTTTGTGTAATCTGTGGTTTGTCTTGACCTTTTTACCTCTTTTAAGAGTTTCTAGCAACATGTTTCTTACTTTGGTATTCAGTGTCCTACTGCTGAATCGTGCTTACATTAAGCAGCATAATCTTATATTACTGGAATTATGGACTGTCTGAGGTCTTGGTGTTATAGATGCTTTGTATAAGGTTGAAACTGCTATCATAATCCAAAACAGTGTTA